GTTGCAGAAAGTTCAATACGTGAATGGCGGAAAAATGAGCAAAGGCTTAGGTATAATTAAATTTTCCCTATTTCTTTTGTTTCTGCCTTTACTGATAATTTTGAAAATTTATCGTTTGAAAAAAGAATTGACTATAAAACATTTAAAATTTAAACAGGTCAATGTTTGAAACTACACCAGAAAGGTCACGATTGGATGGTGGTGGACGAAGGCCAGTTTCCGAAGATCTTGAAAAGGGTTTGGTTAGTTATCAAAAAAAATATGATGTCTGTACTGAAGTTGTGTATAGTATGTGGGTTGTGACTGTACGCTAATTAATAAATCAAAATCTTTACACACATAAGTACTAGTGACTGTACGTGTATATACAGTAGGAATGGCTAATTAATCAGAATCTTTACACACATAAGTACTAATAGTTATGTTGTACAGTAACACCATAATATTGTTATTAGCAACATCATATAGTTAGCAATGTTGTACGACCGGTATATGATTTTGTTTCTACTGTAATAGAATTGTTGCAAACTATACGATAGCACACTTAGTTTTTCAAATAATTAATCAAACTAATTAATTAATAACCTAAGTCTTAAATTATCCTCGCAGTATGACGATTATTTGTTTTGCTTAAAATTAACTTATCAATAAAACATTTTTAGCTTACTTGAATCATTGGAAATAAATTATTGTAATTATTATTTTAATTATTATTTTAGGTTTAATTTATTCCCATCAAATTTCAAATAAAATATTTTTTACGTCTTCCATATAATAACGTTAGAAATATTAATACTGATATAGAAAGCGATATTAAAAATTCTAATAAATGATGATTACACTGATAATGATATAGTAATTATCAATGAGATTAGAAAGGATTATTGGAAAGATATGTCCATCTAATTTTTTGATTAAATTTTCATTTCCACTTTTTTAAATTTCCTTTTTTTCCATTTTTTTTGGTTAAATTTTCCATGCAAAGCAAAAAATCCTCAACCAGAAACTATCTAATGAACTATTTTGAAAGCATTACATTAAGTTTATCAAGCATATTAACATATCACAATCTTAATCTTACCCATATTCGCTTGTCATGCGACTTCATCCATAAATTGGATTTGATTATCACAAATTCCATTATTTCAATTGATAATTATCCTTATAGCTAATTAATTTAATGCATAGTTTTTAATTTGTTATAAATAAAAAACAATAAAGAATAACCGACTGCTAATTTATCACAAATAAACAACAAAAAATTTAAACAATAGTTAATTTATTGCAAATAAACAGGCGATAATTCTTGCAGCTAGTTAATTAATTAATTAATTGTTAATCGATTGTAAATAAACAACGAAAAAATGTAGATAGTTGTTAATTTATTACAAAAAAACCATGGACAATTGTTAATGTATTATAAATAAATAACCGATAATTTTCGTAGCTAATCAATTAATTGGTAATTTATTTATAAGTAAAGTACAAAGAATAGGCGTCAAATTTACATATTATTTAGATATTTTTCATAATTACTCATTCATTCGTTCATTTTGATCAGAACTCTTTGCTATTGTTAACTTTTATTTCTTCTTATTCTTTTCCTTTCTTTTTTTTTTTTTTTTTTTGTCAAATGTTAATTAATACAAAGTAAAAATTTTCCTTTTCAACTATCACTCTCTCTCTCTCTCTCTTTTCATCTTATTCTATCATTCAACAAATGAATATCTTAGAAGAGAAAATAATTATTTTGTTTGCATATAATTTTAAAAAATTTTTGCATTTTATTGTATATTCGCATTGGTTATGAAATGATTAATTAAATTAATTTTGCTTTTTTTTTTTTTTTTGCAAATGTTTTCATCATTTTTGACAATAAATTCAAAGATATATCACACAAATCGATAAAGAGAAAGCTTTTAAAAAATATGAAAAAATAAAATTAAATAATAAAAAAAACAAAAATAAAATGAATAAATAAGTAAAAACGAATAAATGAATGAAAATACAATTGAAATAAAATAATGAAAGAAAAAAAAACAAACTAGACTTTAGCGATTACTTTTTTTTAGAATATGAAATTTTAATTTTTAAATACCATCCCTTTCATTTCCATTATTTTTTTTCATTTGATTAATTAATCTGATTAATCATATTGGTTAATTAAATTCAATAAAAGACTAGTGATATTATTGTATAATTAAAAATTTTTGCTCAGTTTACCTTAGTTTAATTATTTTATCCCTTTTTTTTCGTCTTTTCAAATTACTAAATCAAATATATTTAACTAATTAGTTTAATTTATCATTAACTATGGATGAAGTCATATATTAAATTGTATAACTGCTTTCGAGAATTTATGAAAAATACGATACTGTAAATGGTAAAGGTATATATATTGTTTTAAAATTTGAAAATATCAAGTTTTAAATCCTTTTTTTCTCAAAAGAAGATTTATGATATAGTGAAGTTTCAAATTTTACTAATTATATAGTAAGACTATTAAGTAAGATAAATATGATATAAGATATTCGAAATGAATAGCAATATTGATGTATAGGAAGAATTAAATAAAAGCTAGAACATTCTGAAATAATTAATCTATCCTTTATAAATTTATTTAAAATTGTTTTATAATAAAAAGATAATAAATTATTTGGTGACGTGAAGTAGCACGTGAAAAAAAAAAAAGTAGTAAACAGGAACCATTTGATGAAAATATTTTGTGTGGTTAATGCTAAACGTGATTAACGTGCTAAACATATATAAATTAATTAATATATAAATGGTAAAAAGATATTAAAATATTAATTTAATTAAAAATTTTCAATTATATTTTCATCCATAAAATTGATTATTTATATTTTTCTCTCTTTTTTTTTTTTTTTTGTAAAATAATGAAATAATGTTTTATCATGCATGAATAATGCAGTAAACCCGCAAATAGAAATTTAGCGTATGAATAATAATCGCATTATGTTGTGTTGGTTGGACATTTGTCAGATATATAAATATAAAATATAATATGATATTAGTGGGGTGGTGATAATTAAATTTCATATTATATTAATTAATGCAACACATTCGAAGTAAATAAACTAATGGAAGTAAGCATATGATCGTTGCTATAGTTTTGATTTACTTGCATACTTGATTAAATCATTTTTCATCCTAAAATTTTACTTTCTTTTCTTTTTTGAATTCCAATTTTTTTTCGAAATTTTTTTTTTTTTGACAAATTTTGTTCAATTTATTTTGGGTGAAATGTAAATTTTACTTTTTTTCTTTTTTTTAATACAAGATGCCTTTTTTCTTTTCATTTTTGCTTGAAAGAAAAAGAAAGAATAAATAAAGATAATTGGAAAAAAAATTTTCTAGCTTCAATATGTGACATCAAGGAGTGACAACGAAACAGCCCTAACATGGCATGATATAAAGGATAAAGCGAATGCTTTATGGAAAGATATTTGTGATCGAAATCCGGAATACAATGATCGTGGATTCATCGCTAATATGGTAAGTTTTTTGGAATGTTTCAAAATCATTGCTATTTTTTATCTAACCTGGAAAGGTTATTGCTTTTTTTTGAAGATAGCTATTAGTTTAAAAGGACCGAATTACTTAGGTTAGATTGAAAATATTAGCAATATAAGTCTCGAAAATTATTATTACATAATAGGATTTCTATAAAAGTTCAACAGACTTCTCGATTGATAACCAGAGAATTTGACGAAATGAAAATTAAGAATTCCGGAAAAACATAGGAAGTACTTTCAGTCAATAGCCGGAAAGTTTATCTGCATTATAGGAATTGGGAATTTTTGAAAATCTAGAAGATTTTTCTCATGATAACTGAAAAGTTTGACAAAATAAAATTAAGAATTTTGTAAGAAACTTTCCAATCAATAACCGGAAATTTTGATGGTAGATTTTTTCCCTAAAAATGTGCTATTATTAGACATTAAATCTGGAGATTATAATCTGATTCTGCTGTAAGTATGGTATGTCTAGTGAAATTGTCCTAATATGTATGTATTCGGAGTCTTAGTATGATAATTCTTATTATTAAAAAGTCTTATTAATGTGAAACATTCTTTTTTTTAGAGTAGACGTTTTTTTCAGGAAAAACAAAAGATCATTATTTTTCCATCTGAAAAATTATTGCATATTTTTGTTTGATTAGAAAAAACAAAAGCTTTCATAAACAGGATAAATTCAAATTACAACAATAAATTTCGGAAAAAAAAGATGTTTTCATTTAAAATTTTCCATCTATTTTAGATTTGAGTGAAATTAAGCCTAAATAGATTTTAATAATCTATAATCTATTAATATTAAAATTTTAATAATCTTAATAAAATAAAATTTTAATGAATTTTTTCTATTAAGATTTTAATAATCTATAATCTTTTAATAATCAATTATTAACAATTAACTTTTTCTTTTTTTTTCAGGGTTGGGTTGCACGTTTTGTACGACGTAATAATATTACCCTTCAAGTAACCAATTCCGCTTCGACAATTACACCAAAATTGGTTAATAGCAGTAGTAATAGTAATAGTTTGACAAATCGAATCGATGGTAATTCTATCTGTTGTAGTACATCTTCAGATATGATGGTAAATTCATCCTGTACGTTACCATCATCTACAACATCTCTAATTTCGGATCGTACTGTTGCAAATACTAATATATATTGTTGCAATGATGTTGTAAAAATCAATGAAACAACAACAACAACAACAGCAATAACAACAACAATAACAACAACAACAACAACAAGCAACAGCAACAACAACAACAACAACAACAGCAACAACAATAACAACAGCAGTAACAACAAGAGCAACACCAATAATAATACCAACAATGGCAACAATAGCTACTAATGCTACAAATAATGGCACTGTATCGACGAAAAAACGTCGTAAAAATTTTACACCGAAAAAAATCGTTCCAAATGATGTCATTTGTTTAGCAGCTAACAACAGAATGAGTGATAATAATATCACGACAACAAATACTACACAACATCATCGATAACACGAAGAATAATTTAAGCAACAATGGGACAACTTCAATCAGTAATGCTTTACTGATAGGAATTTCAGGAATATAGTATTTAAACAAACTAGTTATAGGATC